CGACTGCCAAGTATCATCTTGTTTAGAGAACTCGCCAGTGACAAGAGGCTACGGGGGCGGGGTGCAGAATACAGTGCTTCAAGTATCAGTTAGATCCCTGACACGAGCCACCATCGACCCTGTGACCTGGGAAACCGTTGCTGCAAATCGTCATATATATATATATATTTATATATATTGATAATATTAGTGGTCAGTACACACACACACACACACACACACACACATATATATATATATATATATATATAAATATATATACATATATATATCTATATAAATAAATTACAAGAGGATAGAATCCAGGTAGAACTCAATGTCCAGGATATATATATATATATATATATATATATATATATATATATATATATATATATATATATATATATATATATATATATATATATATATATATATATATATATATATATATATATATATGATATGAACATTGATTCAACACTTAGAGTCCTCTAATTGTTGGATTCAATGTTCACTGTTATATTTACACAGGCTCTATCTCTGATATTGAGCAATTTATCCCATAAATATAGCACACCTTAAGACTATATTTCTTTTCATATATATATATATATATATATATATATATATATATATATATATATATATATATATCACTATTTTCTTAGGGGTACAAAATTTTATTATGGAAAAAAAATGGCAAGACGTGCTTTACCATTCATGATTAAAAGGAAGAAAAAAAATGAACAGCCGACCGGTTTCACTCTCACTCAAAGGAGCTGAAATTGAGGGAAGACTAAATATTGCAATATAAAATATAAAAACATGAGAAGCATGTGATAAAATAAAGATGGAAAGATCAGATGGAAATAATGTCAAGCCCTAACAGGCATTCCCTCTGTTTACAGAGAGAGGGCTGCCTGAACCTGGCATAGATCGTTTCCACTATCTTTAAGTGTAACATAGAATGAGCATGACTAAGGATGGAAAATGAGTCAATGCTACATCGGAAACAGTGTATTACATTATATATATATATATATATATATATATATATATATATATATATATATATATATAAATATATATATATATATGCGTGTATTTCGGCAGCATGTTTTCATTGAGGCATGTGTCGTTGAAATTGAATCCAAACCTTAAATAAATTAATTATGAATACTCCGCAAATGTTTTAAAATGTGTGCAATAGATAGTTTGAAATGCCAAGGTTTGCACTACCTGTTTCTCTTTTTACTAGACATTTCGTAAAAAAAAATCTCCATACCGTTTAAGGGGAGGTAACATAGTATGCTATGTTACCTCCCCTTAAACGGTTTCAGCGGTCATGCACTCATGCAGCGCTCCTCCTCCACTTGTAAGAAATTTAACTTTCAGATAACACAATAATTTTGTCTTTGACAAAAATTAACACTACAATATCTATCTTGTAATAAATAATACTCTGATGATGACATTGTGCTATGTCGAAAGTACTCGGAATAAAAAAAAAATATGTATCAACACGGCAATTTTTTCTTATCCTTCAATAATGATACCAAAAAGATTATCCGTGGATATTAAAGGATACTATTGAAAATATGTAGACAGAACATGTATAAATTATTCAACTAAACATCTCTCTCTCTCTCTGTCTCTCTAGATCTTATTCACGGATAAGTATTTTGGCGTCATCATATATATATATATATATATATATATATATATATATATATATATATATATATATATATATATATATATATATATATATATATATATATATAGAGAGAGAGAGAGAGAGAGCAGACAGACAGACAGATTTCGTTGAATAATTTAGACATGTTCTGTCTATTTCATTCAATATATATATATATATATATATATATATATATATTGAAAATGTCTTTAATAAATAAATTGTCGGACTTTGTCCATTTCTTAATATATATATATATATATATATATATATATATATATATATATCAATAAATGAATAAATATGAGTGTGTGTACATAAGTCAAAAGAAAATAGTGGAAGAGAGATGATCAAAAAGGCGGAAATGAAATCAGGAAGAAAAGAAAAAAAAGCATTCTTCCTCCCAAGGAAAATATTTACGGGTCACTTCTTGCTGGATTCGAACACTTGACCTTAATTTGCGAATGACCTTCTCATAATCGCAAACACGAGAACAAACACATAAATGGGTTGAGGATGGGGAGAGGCAGAGTCCAGGAAAGTCAATGGAAGGCTGAAGAAATATAAAATAAAAAATGTCTGGGCCTGAATCTAAAAAAAGAAAAAAATATTCCGATCAGACGGATACGTAAAAGAAAAAAAAGATTATTTCCTACAACCCTAAATGTCAGGCGAAAAACGTCTCTCCTCTCATATCCACTGGCTCTAATATATATATATATATATATATATATATATATATATATATATATATATATATATATATATATATATATATATATATATATATATATATATATATAGGTAAAAATCAGTGGGTAAGTAATACAAGTGAATCCTAATAATATAAAATATTAAAACTGATCCAGAAAAGAGAGCTCAATATATTTATTAACGAGCATTTAATCTATAATTAATCCACGGGGTGGTAGCACCTGTTAGGGTCCCAGCTATGGGCAAATAGTTAATCCCGAACTGGATCAAAATACTATGAAACGGTAAACATAGGTTTTAATACCAGAAATACATTGTAAAAATTATTACCAGCAATTCATTATTACCAGTTATACATTTTTTTTTTTACCAGCGATAAATTTTAAAGAAGAAACATTAACAGAAGTAGTTTTTTGAAGGTAAAGATATTACCAGCAATACACTTTTGAAAAAAGTATTACGAACAATAAAAATTTTGGCGGCATTAAATAACCCATTGTGGTTGGTATACCGTAAACCAAACCAAACCAAACCTATAATTAATCTATATAATCTTTAAATTTAATCTTAATATTAATCTGTGTCTTATATTTTATTATGTATTTAAATTTTTTTCTTTTATATTGTAAAATTTTATTTGGACTATTACTGATCTATTTATTTTAATTCTTCCATTATTTAATTAATTAATTTTAGTATTCAGGTTTTTCTTGTTTAATTATATACTAATAATATCTAAATGTTTATTATAGTATTAAATTCCTTTGTATAATATTAGAATTAAATAATAGTTGCTGAGGATTTTAGAATATTTTGGCATTTGTCTTTTATATCTCGTATATTTTCCCTTTTTTTTTCTTTTCCCCTCACGTCTTATTAATACATTTATATTTTAGTTGTGTTTTTCTCCTTCTTATATTTTCTCGCAATGCGAATTGTTTTCTTTGTCAATCAAAGACAAAAATACCTTTTACAAACTTTTTTTACATAACTTTTATGAACTCTTACAAACATATGTGTATCTTGGGGTCGTAAAGTTTGAACCATTTCAATCTTTACGGAGACATTTTAATCCAGTATCTAGACAGAAGTGTAAAAATAACCGCCAGAATAGATTACCCACAATGCACCACTGACCCATATATATAAATAGCCGAGGAAAAATACAGCATTCGCGGCCTGACGATTGCGTCCAGCATAAAACAGCCTGTCGTGTTGAGTTCAGTGTTCACTTTTATATTTATATTTGCATGCGCTCTGATATTAAGCACTTTACGCCCATTATTATAGCACACCTCAAAACTATATATATATATATATATATATATATATATATATATATATATATATGTGTGTGTGTGTGTGTGTGTGGTAATCGTTTCACCCCAATCCAAGTACTAAAGCCACTAAGACATTAGTGACTAAGAGAAACATTATTAAGGAGTGAGGAAAATAAAAGACGAGGAATAAAGAAGACATGAGATAAAGATTGACATTGCATTAAAATATTTGATGATCTCAAATATGGCTGACAAGCATAGAGACGGAAGGGTGTTCCCCAAGCGAAACGGGCGAGAAAGAAAACTGTTAGCATATATCTTACAGTTACATCTAATCAGTTCTAATATGAATCGATGTGGCCTTGTTGTCAACCTAGTACTGTGCTTAAATTTATAAAGTCTAGGCACAATAGCATTCGAACAATTATGATGAAAATATTCATAGAAAAGACACAGAGAAAGAGACTGAAGTCGAGACGCCATGTTAGAGCCAATAATATTGCTGATTCTTTGGATTTTATCAAGAATATCTAAGTATATAGCCGGAGCACCGGACTATATGTGGCAGGAAGACTATAAGAATGTACGATTCGATTAAAAATGAAACAAAAGACATTAATAAAAGTTTAAGCCTAGTTACAACTGTAAGTTTAAATGTTTTTTTTAGCAGAAATAAGTAACTAATATAAGAGTGATAATGGCGGACAAATGTCGTCTGCCAAAAAAAAATAACCTTTTGAAATGATTGTAGACAATTCTAGAAAGAAACATGTAACAAGAAAGAGAGAGAAAAAAACTCAAAGTATCTTTAAGAAGTAAACGGCTTTTTATATTCATGAAAGAAAAAATATATAAAAGCGTGTACAATGAAAAATCTGAATTTTTATGACTTTATGCAATTTCGAAAACACACATTGCATGGAAGAGAAGGAGGGAAAGATGAAATGAAACAGAGCGAGAACAACAAGAAAGAGAGAGAGAGAGAGTTTGGGAGAAAGAAGGAGAATGAGAGGAAAGTAATGTAAGAGAAATAAAGAGAATGAACGATAAAGAGGCAGAGATAGAGTGAAAATGAAAGAGAGAAAATAAAGTATCAGAGAAAGTAATAGATAGAGAGAATGAAGGAGTTACAATAAAAGAGAAAGAGATAAAGAAAAAACACAAATAGAAAAGGAGAGATGAGAGAGAATATGAGAGAAAAATAGGGAAAATGAAAGAGAAAGAGAGAGGAAATGCGAAAGAGAAAGAGAATGGATTACAAAAAGAGAAAATGATAAGAGGAAAGAGAGAGGGGGAGATGAAAGGGATAAAATGAAATAATGGTAGAGCTAAAAAGGGAATGAAAGGAATATGATAAAAAGAAAGAGAGAATGAGAGAGGCAGTGAGAAAAAGAGAAAAAGAGAGAGAGGCAGTGAGAAGGAAAAAAGAGAGAAACAGAAAAAAGAGCCCGTGAAAAAGAGAAAGAGAGAAAGTGAAAAGACAGAGTCAGTGAGAACGAGAAAGAGAGAAAGAGAGATAGAGAGGGAGTGAGAAAGAGAAAAAGAGAAAGAGAAAGGGATCGACAATATGAAAGAGAAAGAGAGAATGAGAAAGAGAGATAGATAGGCATTGAGAAAGAGAAAAAGAGAAAGAGAAAGCGATCGGCAATAAGAAAGAGAAAGAGTGAATGAGAAAGAGAGATAGAGAGGCAGTGAGAAAAAGAAAAAGAGAAAGAGAAAGGGATCGACAATATGAAAGAGAAAGAGAGAATGAGAAAGAGAGATAGAGAGGCAGTGAGAAAGAGAAAAAGAGAAAGAGAAAGGGATCGGCAATAAGAAAGAGAAAGAGAGAATGAGAAAGAGAGATAGAGAGGCATTGAGAAAGAGAAAAAGAGAAAGAGAAAGCGATCGGCAATAAGAAAGAGAAAGAGAGAATGAGAAAGAGAGATAGAGAGGCAGTGAGAAAGAGAAAAAGAGAAAGAGAAAGCGATCGGCAATAAGAAAGAGAAAGAGAGATGAGAAAGAGAGATAGAGAGGCAGTGAGAAAGAGAGAATGATAAAAGAGATATAGAGAGAGGGGAGGAAAGAATGAAAGAGAGAGAGAGAGAGTCTGAAATTAAGTAAAAGAGAGAATGTTTGAACAAAGTGAGAATGAAAGGATAAAAAAACAAACAAAAATCAAAGAAAAGCATAATTGACCTTTTATTGTTTAAAACACTTCAGCGTGCCTTTTCATTCAAGATGACTTCCAGTGGATTAAGACAAAAGCTTAACTAGGGGAGGAGAGAGAGAGAGAGAGAGAGAGAGAGAGAGAGAGAGAGAGAGAGAGAGAGGGAGGGAGAGAGGGATAGAATAAGAGAGAAGTAAAGAGTGTGGGAACGAGAGAATTAGAGAGGAGTAACTAAATGGGAAATAACGGTAAAATATTAGAGAATAGAAAAAATAAAAAGAAAAAGGAGGGAAGAAAGCAAATGGACAAAACAAGATAGATTAAAAGAAAGATCTGAAGGAATTGAAAGCGTTCAGTGAATGGGTTATTCCCATATATGTTTATAAAGGGTTGTGCTATTCGCCTATTTAATTTTTATAAAGGATGTTTTTTTGCGTGTTTGCTTATATTTATATATATATATATTATATTATATATTATATAGTATATATATATATATATATATATATATATATATATATATATATATATTATATTATATATTGATTTTATATATTATCGTTATATGTTGATTTTACAGTATCTTATATACATATATCATATGTCTTTTATTTACAAACCTCCCCAATCTTTTGGGCACTTGTAGAGGCTTATCCCTCGTTTCCTGTTTAGGATTAGGTTTTTGGTTCCTTTTAAAGTTTACTCCAACTCTATGTTAACGTGTCCCCCCGAACTATGAAATTTTATTTACTATTTATTTATTTACCTCAATAGGAGCAGATAGGCTTGTCTATTGTGCTGTTGACTACCCGGTCTTTTGAACAGGAGTAATGTTTTATCCCTTGTTTCCCGTTTAGGGTTGGATTTCCGGTTCCTTCTAAAGTTTAATCATTCTCTTTCACTTCCAGTCAACCCTTCCTGGTGTAGCCCCTCCCTCTTCAGGCTGGTCAGGAATTCAGAGCCTAACTCCTCCCCCGGTTTTCGAACAGGCGTAAAGCTGTATCCTCTGTTTTCTGTTTAAGGCTGGGTTTCTGGTTCCTTCTAAAGTTTTCATATTCTTTTTCACTCCCAGTAGCCCCTTGCATCTTAGTGGCATTATTGCCTTGTTTTAGTAAAAAAATAATATGGGAATAAATAGTAATACCTATTATTTATTTCGATGGCAAAACCACAAAGAACAAGAAATAATTAGACAGAACATGTTTTCAAATACAACACATTTTTTTCCATTATTGACCATTCATTTTCTGCAATGAACATTTCATTGTTTGACAGCTGTACAACACAACTGGAATGTCGCTTGTTGCACACATCATTGTACCTACTACTGAAACACATAACCAAGTACCTAACTGTGCTCATATCCACTAGCTGGTTTCCCTATACATTCAATAAACGTTGGTCGATATTAATCAGTGTAAGTTTTTCCGCGTGTAGGAATTCAATCATACGTCGCCGTTTAGTACATACTTTCATGTCATACGTCATTTTACCAGTCAGTTCCCTTTTAATACCTTGTCCATTCAGAATATAGGTAATCATATCTCTACACATTTTCTTTAATACCGGTAAATTGCTATGACTTCTTGATGATGAAGCAGAGAATCATCGCATCAGACAAACAAATAAAGACTGAGAAAAAAAAGGAGGTTGTGTTCGACATGGCAAAATTCGTTGGGAGAGAAGAAAAATTTTGAATTTTATGAACCATTACAATTCAGGTATTTAATAAGTCGCCAATCGTGTTTGAAAACAGCAAATAATAATCATTAAAATACCTTTATCGAAATAGTGCATAACTGAATAATATGGAGGAGAATGCTGGAGAATTAAGGGGATTTGTTGTCACTTGGTCACGAGTAATAAAAAATAATGTGTGAAAGGACAACAAGAAAGTTGAAATTGGTGGCAAAGACAAAAGAAAAAAAAGACCATTAATAAAATGTGTTTACTACAAACCTATCGCAAGGGAGAACGCAAGAATTAACAGGGCTGATCTTTGAAAAGTATTAATCGTTTGTTTAAAAAAAAGTCATCACTATGAGACAGAAGAAAAGTTAATATAAAAAAATCATTTAATACAAAATTCTTCAGTTTTGCCATCAATTCCACGCAACCACTTAAGTTTGCCATGACAGAAAAAAAAAGTGAGCAATCAGAAATGAAAATAAAGTCACAGTGAAGAATCTGGAGTCAAAGTCCTAAATGACGCAGATGAAGAGCAAAGTCGCTGTGATTCTCCAAGACTATAAATTCTGCTTGTCAAAGACACATGCTTTCCGGACGCGCTGTGACTCTGAGAATTCATTGTCTGTAAAATCCGTTTTATGTTCATTGAATTCGACGTCGGCTTTCTCTTTTGAAGGAAGTGGGCTGCAGATTGGTAATTTGCAAGAAGTAGTGGCTCATCTGTTAAAGCCGTTGGCGCGCGTCTTTTTTCGTTCAGCGTTCAGCTCTTCAAAAAAGAACCGGATTCTTTTTTGTCATCATTCTCCTTCTTCCACTCTCACTTCATCTATCCATCCATCTCAGTCTGTCCATATCCCTCTCTCTCTCTCTCTCTATATATATATATATATATATATATATATATATATATAAAGTGAACATTGAAGTCAACACTCAGAGGCGACAGGCTGTTTCATGCTGGACGCAGTCGTCAGGCCGCCAGACAATTGCGTCCAGCATGAAACAGCCTGTCGCCTCTGAGTGTTGACTTCAATGTTCATTTTATATTTATATTAACATACGCTCTATCTCTGATATTGAGCGCTTTATCCCAAAAATATAGCACACCTTAAAACTATATATATATATATATATATATATATATATATATATATATATTCAAATGAGAAAAAGGACAGATGGAGTAAAATTCCACTGTTCGTAGCATTGACTTTAAAAAAAAAGTGCTCAATAAAAACATACAAATTTCTTTTTTAAAATCATTACAAGAATACTAAGAATTTCTTTAGAACTCGATGGTACCAACACATTATCTTTCAACAATAACGCGTACAGAAATAGAACGTCCCTTTCTAAAGATTTTTGGAACGAGATCTTGTAAATCTTTAAATGAACCGTTCTTCTTATGTTTACATGAAAAACTAGAAATTATTAAATTTCCTGGCAAAAAAACCATATTAAACCAAAGGATTGAATTAGCTGTAAATTGCTGACATAATTTATCTTTTACCTTACAATATAGTTAAATTTTAAAAAAAATTACCTATTAACATATCTCATAGCCATAGTGTATTAGTATATAATGGTCCACCCTCTACGAGTAATTATCTTATTTTGTTTATTTAGATTTAATTCTGCTTTGTATTGATGTCCAGTCAGTATTATTAATATCTTATATAGATATTCAGCATTTTTAATTTTATCTACAAGCCCTTTTAAGAAGCTTTCTGAATGTAAAATTAAAAAAAAATTCTGTTAACTTTACGTTTGATTATCCTACCCCTCCCTTCAACGCCTTTTTAAAAAATGAACATGTCATATTTTTCTAGAATCACAACACCTTTGTCGCTTACATATTTTCTGCTATTGCCAATGATGACCTGTCTATGTTCCGGTTTATCATGACATGAAAAATAACTTACCCACGTCCCTACTTGTGAGCTTCCTTTTCTGTTTAGCGTAGATCTGACATTTAATTGGTTAATCAAGACATACGCACAAGTCTATTTTTTAATTCTGACTTTATATTTCCCTCGCTTTAACTTTCGGAAAAAGAGGTAACACTTTGTTTTTAAATTTCCTTAAAAATCATTCAAACACCAGTTACTTACCATCTCCTGAAGAAATACAATCAAAGAATTGAAACGTGAAAGCTTTTGTGTAGCTATTTCAACGTTTTTTTTTTTATATATATATATATATATATATATATATATATATATATATATTATATATAAAAAAGAGAAGAGAGGTACCGCAAACGTTTTTGGTTGTAATGTGGATTTATTTTAGTTTACAATAAAAAACGTTTGCGTTTTCTTCTTCTTTTTTAATATACATACTTTTCTCTCGTTGGAACCACTACAACATATTTCTTTTATATATATATATATTTTTTTTTTTTTCTAATGTATCTGTCTGTTCTATTTCTGTTTAGGGCATGAGTCGTAATTGTCTTTTCAAATCCAATTTCTTTTTAATTCCGCATTC